TCAACGAATTTATTTTTTGTGTGTTATTTTAATCACTACTGAGTAATATTCAACGTTTGTGAAACGTAGCATGTCCGGATTGAGCATCTGTGATCGCTTGCTGCTACGCAATGCAGTTGTGTTCGTTTTTGTCGTTTAAAAATATACTTTTGTTACCAATAAAATAAAAACAAATGTATTTGAAAATGACACTGGACGACACTGTAATGACATTCTAGGTGGCCTACTTTTTAATTCAGCAAGAATTATTATTATTGTTAATTCTGCAATAGTTTTTGTCTTGGGTGGCCCAACTGACGGCGTAGAAAGTCTGTGTAGTTGGATACAATGAAAATTTTCCCCCCAAAATATGGATAATTATTTTTTGAAATTTTGAACCCCAAATAAGCGCCCATCACTCGTGAAATCCCCAGGGCAATTTTTCAAATGGCCGAATTTACGGCAGAATCCAGTATTATATAAAGAAAGTATTACTATGGACATCTCGCGCATATTGCCGATGTTTTATACTGTTTGTAGTTTGCATATGAAAGTGGTTGTTGATGCCCCTCCTATTATTCGACGTTGTTGACAATGCCACTTGCACTGTGCACATTTTAGCACTAGATCTAGTGCCATTTTAGCACTAGATCTAGTGTCATTTTAGCGCTAGATCTAGTGCCATTTTAGCACTAGATCTAGTACTTTTTCGGATTAGTGCTACTAGCACTAGCCACTCGCACTACGCCCATTTCGACACATTTACATACATGGATACTAGGTATGTAATTTATAGATAATAACCTTGACAATGGTTCTATGTTATTCTATTGCTTTGATAGTCACCATGTAATGATAGGAGATCATTGTCACCTTAATTGGGCTGGTGTTTGTTGTTGTTGTTGACTTGACTGCATCAATTGTACATGTACAATGTGTTCAACTCTCTATTTGTTAGCCCATTGTAGAAATTGTTTCTCAAATCAACCTTAAATCAAAAAAGGCTGTTTCGATGCAGCAAGTTTTTCAGTGTGAAAGGTGTGCATAACTGCCTTCAAATATGATTGATAGTTGTACTTTGAGGAAAGAGAGAAGTAGAAAGCAAGTAAGCAGAAGTTGACATTGTATAGTTGATTGCCAAGATATCTTTTGATAACAGTAGTAATTAATCTGTTATTCACATACTATGAATTCTGAATGTCAACATTCATATAAGAAACAGTTTAAAAGGGTTAAAATAAACCTAAAATTGCAAACTTTATCAGGCCATAAGTAAAAGTTTGTTAAAATATTGTGCAGGAAAATGTTCTAAAGTTGCATTCCGACTTTGCAAACCTGTTGGGTACAATCCCTCTGACTAATATATATACTTTTTATCCTGCCAACCCCATCTACTTTAACATTGATTTAACCAGATAAGGGATATAATATCAAATGTTGAGATTGTGGATAGGTAATGATGTTAATGCTGTCAACACAAACTCTGTAGCGAATTCACTGCAGACTGATTAATTTTTTTCTGCAGGCAAGACATCCATTTTGTTAAAAAGTAGGAAACTTCCATTCAGTGATGATGTGAATTGGAAGTGTTTGCTTAGTCTGTCATTGACAGCATTCCCAGCAAGAATTTACATTAAATTTTCATAATTTGAATATTGTTAGCAAATAGAATGCAGAGAATGGCCATCCTAAGTTATTCCAACAGTAATGCCTCAAAAAATAAAGTCTTTGTTTTTTTAATAAATAAGACATTTTTTGTTGTTGTTTTTTTGTTTTGTTTTTTGCTAAAATATTTGAAGGATCACATATTTTGCAGTTTTCATCAATTCATCAACAGGGGCATTGATTGGTGAAATAAATAAGAAAAAAAGATTACTATGCACTCTTTTTTTTTTTATTGTGCACACTGACCAGAAACATATTTTATTTTTTTATTTTTAGGTATATCAAACTCATTTTGTTTAAATTTAGCAAACACAATACTGGTTACATACAGGGATGACAGGGATTGTTTTAATTTATCCTAATATTGTAGTTTTATTCCAATAACAACATTTTGAAAACATTTTACTAGTAGGTACTTAGTAAGTTTGACATCTTACTCTACCTGCAGCAGCAGATCAATAAAACTTTGTCACTCTAGGGATATGCTATCGATACAAATGTAGTGCTATTTTCATTAATAATACTATATTGTCTGGAAATCATTGATGCATAGTTTTCTTTGCCACTAATAGTTCATTACAAACAATATGTAGCAAGTTAACATAGTATTCACACATAACCTTTGACATCTTTTACTCGCTGATGTGTTGGTTGCCATGACAACTACACCCAACAAACAAAAAAAGGGACGCGGACAGGTGATAATAATCTATGGTTCAATGTAACGTTTCATCGATCACGTACCCCCTAAAGCAGTCGAGTAGCATCTTGTATCTCTCATTGTTGGTTAATCTCTCTACACATACCTCTTTAATGTACAGGTAATATTAACATTTTTGAGTCTATATATGTGTCTTAGTATTCTTAATGTTAATATTTATTAACAAAGATTTTATTGAACTGGATAAAAATGTAAAACCAATAATCTACTCCATTATATGTCAGGTCAGACTGCTTGAAATATAATGTTTTCATCAATTTGCCTTCACATGTCTTGACAGGTAAATTATTTCAGCATATATAAAATTAAATGTAACTAGGTTAAGACAGAATTTACAGATTTTATGAAATAGAGTAATGTAATAATTTAATGTGTAGTACATTTGTACTATTTCTATTTTTCAGCTTGGTTTTCCACGTTTTTGTTTAAAATTTTTCTGCTAAAAATGTTTCTATAATATTCATGTAATGTTGCCGCTCTGACTCATGGCTGTCTATACTATTATTATCAATTCAGATTTTTAATTTAAGATGGGAGAAAACATGAAAAAAAAACATTTTTTGAGAAAAAACCTTTGAAAGACGTTTTTGAGTCACCAAATCTAACACCTAACAGTCAGACTGACCAATCAGAAAGCTTCAACTCAACTGTCTTTTTGTGAACCTCTGAACTATGGGGTAAATAACGAATCTGAGAATGTTTTGGATATTATAATTTTATAAAATGATAGCGAAAAACTTAAAAACAGAATGAACAAACAGCGAGAGACGACTTATCTCATAATAAAAACAACTCTTTCTACAAATGTATATATTAATTGCAAAGTTAACATGCTCAGTGACTGGTGGAGAATGTCTTAATCATAATTAAATTTCAAATGTTTCCAGTGCTATAATGTATAATAGTCACAAACTTTATTTGAAATATGATTGCTTTCAGGTGTCAATGATGTTGGCAACAGAAGACCCAGTGTTAAGATGAGAGCACGAAAAACAAAAGAAGTGAAAGCTAAAGTACCTTCCAAATCCCCTTTAGTTATAGAAGACTTATCAACAAGTAAAAGAACACCATTGAAAAGTAGTAACAGAAAAATGAATGAGGTAATACATGCAATACAAAATAATCTTTTTGGATCAAGTGAAATATCTATGGGGTTAAATTGTATTAAGACTCTCTTAGAAAAGTGGTAGGAATTTCCCGTCAGCATCTCCAGACCACTACCGGTGCACTCTTCTAGATAACTCTTTTCAGACAATTCGGCTAAATATAAACACCTCTGGATTATTTTTGATACAAGTGATAAATTATATGAGCCATTCTTCTACCAGAATTAATGATTTTCAGTGGCTTGAGCAATACTTTGAAGTGGTTTTTGAACTTTATAATTATATTTTCAGTAAAGAATGCTGAAATTTTAAAACTCTTTCTATTTAGCTATGCAGAAGCACATGTAAACTGCATCGAATACATACAAAAGATTATCTTCATAGACTTATGGTCTGACATTTGTCTCTTGTTTTTTTGTTTGGTACCACAGGGCCAATTTTTGCTCATTATTTTATAGAATGAAAAATGATGAAAAATTCTCAAAAAAACAAAGCTCACAGCCCAAATCTATCTATATACACATCTCTCTCGTGTACATTACCACTGGGTTATTTTTGCAGACTGCGTAATTGTTAATGCGATGTTAAATTTACTATTGTAAAAATGGTAACAAACAAATACTGTATTTGCACAATTGAAAGCGTATATCAAATAGAAGCACTTGTAAACCTAAAATTGCATGTTGAATCATAAAAAACATTTTTTGTTGATAGAATGCACCTCTAAAGCTTATGTGTTACTAATAGAACAAATATAATATATGTGTAACAGTGCAAAGCTGCTGAGATAGTAAATCAGTTGTTAGATCACTGTCTCCAGTTAGCTCATAAATTTTGTCTGCAAGATTTCAAGTGCAATTTACATGTACAGTATTCTGTGTTGATTGTTGTGTCGTTAGCATATTTCTATAGCAACTTGTATATAAATACACAATGTTAAGGGTTTGCTATTTAAAAATTTCAGTAACTTGAGTGATTATGTGAGCTGTGCTATTAAAATAGATTCAAAACAGTATCAGTTTTTAAATTCATACCGTTTTGAATCTATTCTTGAATCTAATTAGTATTCTTGACTTGGAGAAGTGATAGGTGAGTGAAGTGATCACTCTCCTTAAAATGTATGAGTGTGAAATAATATAGTATTAGCCATTGATGATGTTTATTGGTGAACAACAGGTGGTTTGGATGAATTGATTACACTTTAGTTGATGCTTGGTTAGAGAACAACAACAATGCACCATAGTGGTTGCTGTATCAAACTCATGATCAGTCCAATCCTACCTGGATTGATCATGAAAATGGGTTGATCCCTACCCTTTGGGAATGCCACTGGCTGAGATTCATTCACTAAATGAATGAATAAATGGTACACTCATTTGCCATAATGCTTTTACAATAAGAAGATCGTTACACAGCCCTGTCATGTTGTTTCTCTGGCAAAATGCGCTGTATCAGCACATAAATAAGTCAGGAAGACAACAGAGATTTCAAAATCCAAAACTGTCATCTGGTACAACAAAAAACAATTAAAAGGAAAGCACTGTAGTATGATTGTTGTTGTGATGTTGTTGGGTTTGGCTGATACTGGAATGTGACTGGGTCAAGAGTTCAAACGACAGGTGGTAATTGTATTCATTTGTAGCCACTTAAAATATTATATATCTCCATTATTTATTGGTTGCCACGTTGAACCAATAGTATATATAATTAGGCATTTTGTGAATGGTTGAAGTGCTAGAAATGAAACACAGTAGATGAGTGATTAGAAGAGCTATGCAATTAAACTCTCTTCAAAATGATGTGAATTTATGGAGCAATTATTAGCTGTTATGATTTGAGCAATGTGATTACCGGGTATTCTCTTCCAGAGGACTGTATATCATTGAGTTGATGAAAGATTCATATGAATTTGTATTTTGTCACTGTTATATCCAATTTCAACTTGTCTCTACTCAAAACATGTTTACATCAATTGCTTAATCAGTAACTTTAGATTCAGTATTTTCTCCATGACTTCTTTAACTTAAACAAAAAAAAATTGTCTGAATATTTTTACGTTAGGATGTTTGAAATCTGAATTGATATTTAGTATATTTTCCTACCTTGTAGCGGAATGCATTCATGAGTTGTTTACTGAATAATGGAATGTATTATTGTTGCCTAAGCTGTTATTGTTAGTCTTATCAGCTATTTACTGTCATCTGATAATGAATTGTAGCTTCCAAAACATACATTAATAAAAAGCCTTGTGGCTATCACTGCAGGGTTTTTAAACATTCCTAAAACACACAGCATAATGAATAATTAAAATTCAAACCATGCTGCAAGTTATGTAGTAGCATCCATGTACCATGAAAATGCTATGATAGAAATGAACTTCTTATTTTGTGGAATGTTTTTTTATAATGTTAATTTATGACTGGCTCTGTGGCATAGGTAACCAGAGATATCTGACTTTCTGATCGTTGTAAATGGATTAGACTTGGATGCCCACCAACATCTAGTTTACTGTAGCTTAGGTGTTTGTAAATAGATTAGACTTGGATGCCCACCAACATCTAGTTTACTGTAGCTTAGGTGTTTGTAAATAGATTAGACTTGGATGCCCACCAACATCTAGTTTACTGTAGCTTAGGTGTTTGCAAGTACATACAATTTATTAGCTGTCAATGTTTCTAAGGAGTGCACACGCATAACAATAAACATAATTTGCATATTGCTGACATTTTTGCATAACAATTAAATTGATTTGATTATGTATTTGCATTGGTGGGTTCTTACCCACATCACTAGGCATGTGCATGGTAGGTTCTTACCCACATCACTAGGCATGTGCATGGTAGATTCTTACCCACATCACTAAGCATGTGCATGGTAGGTTCTTACCCACATCACTAGGCATGTGCATGGTAGGTTCTTACCCACATCACTAGGCATGTGCATGGTAGATTCTTACCCACATCACTAAGCATGTGCATGATGGGTTCTTACCCACATCACCAAAGCATGTGCATGGTGGGTTCTTACCCACATCGCTAGGTATGTGCATGGTGGGTTCTTACCCACATCACTAAGCATGTGCATGGTAGGTTCTTACCCACATCACTAGGCATGTGAATGATTGGTTCTTACCCACATCACTAGGCATGTGAATGATTGGTTCTTACCCACATCACTAGCCATGAGCATGGTGGGTTCTTACCCACATCACTAAGCATGTGCATGGTAGGTTCTTACCCACATCACTAGGCATGTGAATGATTTGTTCTTACCCACATCACTAGGCATGTGAATGATTGGTTCTTACACACATCACTAGGCATGTGCATGGTGGGTTCTTACCCGCATCACTAAGCATGTGCATGGTGGGTTCTTACCCACTTCACTAGGCATGTGCATGGTGGGTTCTTACCCACACCACTAGGCATGTGCATGGTGGGTTCTTACCCGCATCACTAAGCATGTGCATGGTGGGTTCTTACCCACTTCACTAGGCATGTGCATGGTGGGTTCTTACCCACACCACTAGGCATGTGCATGGTGGGTTCTTACCCGCATCACTAAGCATGTGCATGGTGGGTTCTTACCCACTTCACTAGGCATGTGCATGGTGGGTTCTTACCCACATCACTAGGCATCTGCATGGTAGGTTATTATCCACATCACTAGGCATCTGCATGGTAGGTTCTTATCCACATAACTAGGCATCTGCATAGTTGGGTTCTTACCCACATCACTA